GCATATCTCAGCTTCAGACCATATTTTGCTTCAGAAGTACCAAAGATCATAGAAATAAATAAGGATAAAAAGTCATATTGTTCCTGGATAATACCATGGCATATTGTTTTAAAAAGCAGCTTAGAGTGAAGAACCATCCCCATTTCTCTCTCTCCGCTGGTTGCACCACTCTTGCTTTAATCACTTAGTGGGCACGTCTACACATTCATTAATGTGCCCTAGTTACTGCACATCAAGTTTAGTACTTGGTTACCCAGGTACTAATTCATTGAGCAGTACAGGCAGTCCTCGACTTACAACATTTCGAGTTACAACATTTTGCACTTACAACATTTATAAATTGACACCCCGTTTCAACTTTCTGGCATCAGTTTCAACTTTACTACGCTTGATCTGATGCGACGCCATGCCAGCGAACAAGTTCACTGCATCTCCCATGTCCCCGGAGAACATCTGTCCAAACTTGCTTGGACACTTTCTTTAAGGAAGCAGACAAGACTCCAGAAAAACCTGCAGCCAAGACTCCAGCCAAGAACCGTTCAAAAAGCCCATCCAGGAGCCCTTCAAAAAGTTCAGCAAAGTCACTTTGAAGAAGTCCTTCCAAATCAATATGATTGCTATTTACAATATAAATGCATTAATGTAGCTATAGGCAGACAAGGTTCCTTGGGTGAATTTGATATCTTTTATTAGACCAACCCAAATAGTTGGAGAATAGTTATTAAGCAAGCTTTCGGGTTCAAAAACCCTTCATCAGGCTAAGGAAGTTTCAACAGTTGGCGTGTGCTCCTCCTGGATGGAATGAAATAATGTAGCTATATTATTCATTTATAATTGATTGAGTACAACATTCTGGGTTATTTTTGGTGAAACTAAGGTAATCGGGCCTTGGTTCAGGAACCAATCTTCATTTATAACATTGTGTCCTGTGGGAAAAACAGTTTTGAGTTACAATGTCTCAACTTAAGACACAGTTTTCAGGAACCAATTATGTCATAAGTCCAAGGACTGCCTATAATGTGCGCTACTGCACAGTAGTGCTGGCTCAGTCTTTAGTGACACTTACTGCACAGTAGCTTAATAGCAATGCACAGTAGCGTATTAGCATGGGTTTTGCCCAGCATGCTACTGCACAGTGTTATTAGGCTACTGTGCAGTAAGCGACTCGTATAGACCTGCCCACTATGGAGCAGTGGCACCCAAGGAGAGGAGCACATCCAAAATATTAAAAGGAAAATTGTTGTGCTTTTCCGACATAATCTGGTGACTATAAAGGCAAAAGCACCATGACAAGTTCTGGGCGTGTTTTGAAGCTTGTGGTGCATGCAAGAGAGATCGGATGGATCAGCTTGTCCTGCTCCCCTGCTCCAGTTCTGTGACTACAGATTCCCACAATTTGTGATACTACTAGTCTTTATCTCAGGGGGTAAAAAAAAACCCTACCTTGTGTGTGTCTTCATATGTTCATTCTTGAAATTATTAAAGAAGATTTAGATCCTTATGAATCTGATGCTTTGGGCCTTTTTTGGACTTCACCTGACACTGCCCAGGCTTTAGTTTTTTATTCACCACCGGTTCTTGATTCAAACAAAGGATTCATTTTTTAAGAGTGGGAAGTCAGCACAATCACCTTCTGAATTACCTTTTGTTTTCTGTGAAATGGGCCTAGGGATGGGTCATCATCCGGACCCAGTGTTGCCAACTGTCCTGACATTTCATATTATCCATAAAAGCTCAGTTCTTGGAATCAAGTGATTTCATGAAAACACCTTGAATATTGACCCCCCAAACCTAAGAAACTAGAAAAGAATTAAAAAATCCCCCCCATTAAAAAAAAAATCTCACCAATTTAAACCAGGTTTATAATGTTTTTGAGAATAAAAAGTTTTGAATTTTGGGGGTTTCCAGTAATGCTGACCTTTATCTACCTACATCTACCTTGTGTTCTAATTAAATAACTCCATTAGCTTAAAGTAGAAGTAGGGTGTTATCTGATACCACCTTCAAGTAGGTCATACTTGCACTGATATTAAGTCACGACAGGATTATAGGTTTCTTCTAAGTTTCCCATAAAGACTTTTATGTATTTGTTGCTTGGTTTCAATTTATCTGAAGAAAGTAAACAGTTGAAAATTAAAACTGCCCTTGAACAGGTCCAACAACTGGAAGCTGAACTTGCCAACAGAATGGGCCATCGCCTCTTTCCCTCTGGATCATTATTTACAGCAGACAAAATTTGATTTGGTCACAAACTCATGATTGAGATGCTCAGTGGATTTGGTGGCTGGATGAAGAGTTAGAGCCTTTTATACGACATACATTTGATATCTTTCTGTACCCTGAGCTGTAGAACAGTGATTGCTGAATACCAGTGAGTTGTCATTTGCTTAAGGTTTGTTTCCTGGGACCAATGTTGGCCCCAGCAAAAATATCTCTGTAAGACTAAGTATTTGGAAACCTTTTAACATATGGTAAAAGCAATATTATGTGGTATGCATTTTACCTCAAAAATGTTATATAATAGGCTAGGATTGGGTCATAATCACTAGGCAAAGTATATGTTAGAGACCAGTTGCAAAAATGCATTAGGCTTCTCTTTTCATGTGCTTATTTTAGCAGGATATTTGTAGATACAGGAACCAGTCCCACTGAGGAAGCTCATAATGCGGCATGATTTCAATTGCTGAGAACACAGGAATCTTATATTGGGTCCCAGTTATTATTATTATTATTTTGCCAATGTCAATTATGATGATTACAATTACGTTGCCATGGTGAAGCAATGATCCTAGCACAGCACAAGGTTGAGGTCAATGCCCCAAGGTTTGGTGGTTCCAGTAAGCTCTGGAAAATTACTACAACCACAGGACTCTGGCTAGAGTAGTAAAGGACTTACATACCGCCTAGCCCAACTTGGACACAATTTTTCACATGCAGAGGCTTCCTTCAGACAAGCTGCCAACCCCAGTGCCAGCCGGTTCTCTTCTCATTGCACCACTTTCAATTGCAGAGCAGTTTCTTGGGGATTTTTGGTAGAGCAAGATAAGGATGTCCCTATGTTAATACACTGTTAACAATGCAGAGTTGCATAAATGACAACTCCTGTGTACACCTGTAGACTTTTCCATGTCTGGCTTTAATTCAACCCATGAATCTTTTGTATACAGTGCTAAAGCATCCAGTTAGGCTATACAGTGAAAAGGGTGCTCTGATTTTAAGACTTCAGTAGTATGGAGAGCAAGCATGACAACTCAAGCTAGAATATAAAGCTCTGGACTGCACTATGCATTTGTGCTGATTTACAAACAGGCGATGGCTACATTCCCACTATGTCTAGGGTCACTGCTGTGGTTAGGACATGGATCTATGTCACCTCCCTTACCCTGTGATGGGACTCTAGGCAGCTTCTCTTATACCCCTTCACTTGAACAACAGCATGGAGCTCTATGGGCCTCATTTTTGGCACCTACAGGTTCAGAGACCTAGCAGTTTTTCTTTCCATTAGGTACTTTGGGCAATCCCTCTAGGCCTTGTCTGTATTTTAGGAACTTAAATGCTTCTGAAAACAGAGAAGCATAGGAAATTAGAGTAGAAGAGACCTCAGGAGATCATCTAGTCCAACCCCCTGCTCAAAGCAGGACCATCCCCAACTATAGCATCCCAGCCAAAGCTTTGTCTAGCTGGGTCTTAAAAACCTCTAAGGATGGAGAGTCCACAGCTTTTTTGGATAACCTGTTCTAATCTTTTACTACCTTCCCCATGAGAGTTTTTCCCCCAATATCCAACCTTAACTTCCTTAAAACATGTTCCATGGAACCTGGTAGAACAAGGACAGTTCAAGTGAAGGGGGATAAAAAAAAAAAGCAATGCATGAGCTCCTTAAAACTACAGTCTAGGGCAAAAAAAATGACATAATAGATGACCATTATGCCCACTGAAGTCATATTGACTGAAAGGACAAGGTTCAATTTTTTTTGGTGGTACAGGAAGCTGGAGATATCATTTAAGGCAGGCAAAGCATAACATAGCAATGTATCTCAAGGATGCCATTTTAAATAGGGAGTATGAATAAAGTTGCAGTAATCTAATCACACCCAATAGCCCACTGCTTGGAAAACATTTCAGTTATGGGAGAACAGAATGGATTTAAAGAGATGGGCCCTGGAGAGAAGTTAATTGCTTGATTTTAATTTTTGCACAAAGTCAGAGTAGTAGAAAGACAATGAATTGTTATTAGTGTATACAAGGAGTCTCTCTTTAATCTCTTAGTCCCAGGGAGTCAGAAACAGAGTGCTCCAGCTTTAACTATGGGGTATAAATAGAGGACACATCATGCAGTTTCATCTAGGTCCAGGCTTTACTCTCACACCCTTACAAGTCTGGTATTTTTCTTCTAGGTTTAGACTAATGTAAGAAATGCAGATCTGACCTGGAGGACTAGAAGGGAAACAGAGTACAGAATATTGAGGGATGCCAACAGACTGCTGCCACCCCCTCTAAGGGGACACAGCAGAGGCCATAATAGGGTGGCCAACAAGGAAAAGGGGGTGTTTTCTCTTGTTCTGTGAAGGAAGCAGCCTTGGCTAAGCAGAGTACCAAAGGGTGTTGGAATTCACCCTTCTGTTGCCAGCTGCATGTTGCATGCAGGTTTCTAGGGCATCTGCAAGCTATTCCATGTATCTTGTGCCATGACGTACTTGACTTACATATCCAGCAATGCATGCTTCTTCTTGCAGCAGACCCCAGCAATAGGATGCTGGAAAAGACTTCACAGAGAACAGAAGATCTCAGAAAATACTATTTTATTATTTCAGGACTCCAACAACATTACAGCAAGTAGGTCTACACGCTCTCACCTGCACCACTCCACAAGGAAATGCACCAACTGTACATACTGTGTCCCTTAAAGTTTGTAAATTGGAGCATCTGTCTGCAACGGAGAACTGGCCTTGAATTTGTGGTAGGGAGAAAG